ACTGGTCAGGGTGCGGTTTGGACCGGGTCGATGTTCTGATCCAGAACCACAGAAGATCCAATCTGCTGTTTTACTGATTTTCATCTAGAATCTGAGCTGAGCTTCCAGAACCTCCTCTGGTTCTGTTACAGCTGCAGTTTGGTTAGTCTCAGTGAGTTTGGTCAGTCTCAGTGAGTTTGGTCAGTCTCAGTGTGTTTGGTCAGTCTCAGTGAGTTTGGTCAGTCTCAGTGAGTTTGGTCAGTCTCAGTTAGTCTCAGTGAGTTTGGTCAGTCTCAGTGAGTTTGGTCAGTCTCAGTGAGTTTGGTCAGTCTCAGTGAGTTTGGTCAGTCTCAGTTAGTCTCAGTGAGTTTGGTCAGTCTCAGTGAGTTTGGTCAGTCTCAGTGAGTTTGGTCAGTCTCAGTCAGTCTCAGTGAGTTTGGTCAGTCTCAGTGAGTTTGGTCAGTCTCAGTCAGTCTCAGTGAGTTTGGTCAGTCTCAGTGAGTTTGGTCAGTCTCAGTCAGTCTCAGTGAGTTTGGTCAGTCTCAGTGAGTTTGGTCAGTCTCAGTCAGTCTCAGTGAGTTTGGTCAGTCTCAGTGAGTTTGGTCAGTCTCAGTGAGTTTGGTCAGTCTCAGTGAGTTTGGTCAGTCTCAGTGAGTTTGGTCAGTCTCAGTGAGTTTGGTCAGTCTCAGTGAGTTTGGTCAGTCTCAGTGAGTTTGGTCAGTCTCAGTGCACCTGCAGCTGTAAAGCATCTGGACTGAGGAGCACCAGGTGAAGCAGAACGTTGGGACAGAAGACAGAGGCGTCCTCGACTCGCCCAGAGGAAACAGACCTGCTGACTCCAGTCTCTCTCTGAAGACATTTCCTGAGGACGAACAGGACTTACTTCTTGGACGCTTTGAGGGCCTCGTCTTTGTCCAGCGGCTCCTTGTTGCTGTTTGGTCCTCCGTCCACCTCACTTTCCTGATCAGACAGACAAGAGGACATGGAGGACATGATGGACAGTTTAACTGTTCAGGATAAGGAGAGGAAGTCTGGTCAGAAATATGACCAACTATTGGTGGTCATGTGATGCTAGAAAAACAGGGATTTGAGTCATCAGTTTATTATTTTATAACCGATTCTGTTATTTCTTTTTCTAAACTTGCATATCTATATTGATACATCTGTGATTAGAAGCAGCAGAGTCAGACTGGTATGGAGGGTGAACACAGGATGAGGACGCAGCAGCTGAGCTTCCATGCAGACGACGTTGGGATTTCTGGGTTTCCTCTCCACAGTGAGGGAACGACGGAGACTCACGTTGGGTTGGCTGCTCCTCTCGGCGTTGCTGACGATCTGAGTCCTGAGGATGAGGACCTCCTCCTTCCGGGCGTCCAGCTCCTCGTTGGCCGACTTCAGCTGGCCGAGCAGCAGGTTGTACGCGTCCTGCAGCTCATTGGACGAGCCGTCCTGCGCCGCCCGCTCGGCCACGCACTTCCTCAGCTCGTTCAGCTCGTTCTTCAGTTTCTTGTTCTCAGTTTCGAGCTCCTGTCTCTGTTGAGGAGAACAGCTGCTGTTACCGACCAGACCGACTGGCTTCACTTAGTTGTTGGACATTATTGTAGTTTAAAGATCATTCAATATGCTAATTATGTTAAATTTTAGCAACTTTGCTAATGAAAGTTTAACACCATGAACAACTCCATGCAAAGTGCATATCTCACCCCACCACCAGGTGGCTCCACTGCAGCACCATTACTGAACTGATGCTGAAGTAAATCCAGGACAGGGAAGTCCGTCTCCCCCAGACTGCTCAGTACGGGTTGGGCAACGCGTGGGGGAGGGGTTGGTCAAGCATTCTGGCTCAGTTCAAGGCCGTCAGGTGAAGAGAGGAAATGGTTCAATAATTCATCCATGATGGACGGGGTCAGTCAGGGGTCAGTCTGGTTTAGCCAGGCTGACCCTTGTGTTCTGCCCCACAGAACTGCTGAATGGGGCAGTTCTGTGGAGGTCAAAGGTCAGCACTGGGTGTGTCACATCTTAACACTCAGACAACAACGTCGCTCAACCCCAACCAGGCCGAGACGTCCTGCTTGTCCACTGATCAGATATGGAAGCTACTGTGGATTGCTTAACATGTCTGGTTCTGGACCGGATCTGAACCAGTTCTGGACTGGATCTAGAATCTGGTTCTGGACCAGATCTGGACCGGTTCTGGACTGGATCTAGAATCTGGTTCTGGACCGGTTCTGGACTGGCTCTAGAATCCGGTTCTGGACTGGCTCTAGAATCTAGTTCTGGACCGGATCTAGAATCTGGTTCTGGACCGGTCTAGAATCTGGTTCTGAACCGGTCTAGAATCTGGTTCTGAACCGGTCTAGAATCCGGTTCTGGACCGGATCTGGACCGGTTCTGAACCGGTCTAGAATCTGGTTCTGGACCGGTCTAGAATCTGGTTCTGAACCGGTCTAGAATCCGGTTCTGGACCGGTTCTGGACCGGTTCTGGACCAGTTCTCTGTCATTCTTAACACATTGTAAGTCTTATCCGTCCTGCTGTCCCTCTGGAGACGCCTGTCTCTGCTAATGTGTCTCGCTTGTTCTCATTGGTGGATGAGCTGTCACCATGACAACACTAACTACCGGACCGGTTCTGCACAGACTGTGCAGAACCGGTGAACTGGTTTTGATGGTGTCGGTGCAGTCGGTCGGATCCGGTTGCTCTCCGGTACCTTCTGGTTGTTGTAGGCCAGATCTCCTGTCGCCACATCCGGCGTTGGGGTCTTGGGCTCCGGAGCCTTCAGAGAAAGATCAGGGGTCACCGGAGGCCGCACCAGCAGAACCGCACCAGCAGAACCGCACCAGCAGAACCGCACCAGCAGAACCGCACCAGCAGAACCGACCCGCTCACCTTGCGCTTGGCCAGCTCCTCCATCTTGTCCAGGTTGACCTGCAGCCTCTTCCTCTCCGTCTCCAGCTCCCTCACTCGCTTCTGCAGCTTCAGGAACAGGCTGATGTCCATGGCAGCATTCTCCTCTCCCATCTCCTGAAAACCCGGCAGCACACAGATCGGACCTGGTCCTGACGGAACACACCTGTACTCACCAGGCTCCGCCCCCTGACTCACTTCCACCTGCTGGACGGAGTCCTCGGTGTCTCCCACCTCAGACTCCACGCTGCTCTGGTTGGACGGGTTCCTGTGGTGGCCGGGTTGGAACTGGAGGAAGAGATGGACTTTGGTTCTGGTTCTGTTAGACGTGGTCCAGTAGAGATCCAGAACGTCTGACGGGTCGGTCTCTAGCCGACCAGAACCGTTGTTTCGTTTCTCATGGTTTTCTGATTCAAAGTTCTGGACGGATCTGAAAACCGGGTTCGGCCCACGTCCACGCTTCTGTTCTGATCCAGTCCGGATCACCAGAACTGGCCGGATCTGGGTAGGGCTCACCAGAACCGGTTCGGGTCATCAGAGCCGGTCCGGGTCATCAGAACCAGTCCGGGTCGTCAGAACCGGTCCGGGCCTTCAGAACCGGTCCGGGTCATCAGAACCGGTCCGGGCCATCAGAACCATTCCGGGTCATCAGAACCGGTCCGGGCCTTCAGAACCGGTCCGGGTCATCAGAACCGGTCCGGGCCATCAGAACCATTCCGGGTCATCAGAACCGGTCCGGGTCGTCAGAACCGGTCCGGGTCGTCAGAACCGGTCCGGGCCATCAGAGCCGGTCCGGGTCATCAGAACCAGTCCGGGTCGTCAGAACCGGTCCGGGCCTTCAGAACCGGTCCGGGTCATCAGAACCGGTCCGGGCCATCAGAACCATTCCGGGTCATCAGAACCGGTCCGGGCCTTCAGAACCGGTCCGGGTCATCAGAACCGGTCCGGGCCATCAGAACCATTCCGGGTCATCAGAACCGGTCCGGGTCGTCAGAACCGGTCCGGGCCATCAGAACCATTCAGGGTCATCAGAACCGGTCCGGGTCGTCAGAACCATTCCGGGTCATCAGAACCGGTCCGGGTCATCAGAACCGGTCTGGGCCGTCAGAACCGGTCCATCAGAACCGGTCCGAATCATCAGAACCGGTCCGGGTCATCAGAACCGGTCCGGCCATCAGAACCATTCCGGGTCATCAGAACCGGTCCGGGTCATCAGAACCGGTCCGGTTCATCAGAACCGGTCCAGGTCATCAGAACCATTCCGGGTCATTAGAACCGGTCCGGGCCATCAGAACCATTCCGGGTCATCAGAACCGGTCCGGTTCATCAGAACCATTCCGGGTCATCAGAACCGGTCCGGGTCGTCAGAACCGGTCCGGGCCATAGAGCCGGTCCGGGCCTTCAGAACCGGTCCGGGTCATCAGAACCGGTCCGGTTCATCAGAACCGGTCCAGGTCATCAGAACCATTCCGGGTCATTAGAACCGGTCCGGGCCATCAGAACCATTCCGGGTCATCAGAACCGGTCCGGTTCATCAGAACCATTCCGGGTCATCAGAACCGGTCCGGGTCGTCAGAACCGGTCCGGGCCATAGAGCCGGTCCGGGCCTTCAGAACCGGTCCGGGTCATCAGAACCGGTCCGGTCCATCAGAACCGGTCCGGGCCTTCAGAACCGGTCCGGGTCATCAGAACCGGTCCGGGCCATCAGAACCATTCCGGGTCATCAGAACCGGTCCGGGTCATCAGAACTGGTCCGGGCCGTCAGAACCGGTCCGGGCCATCAGAACCATTCAGGGTCATCAGAACCGGTCCGGTCCATCAGAACCGGTCCGGGCCTTCAGAACCGGTCCGGGTCATCAGAACCGGTCCGGGCCATCAGAACCATTCCGGGTCATCAGAACCGGTCCGGGTCGTCAGAACTGGTCCGGGCCGTCAGAACCGGTCCGGGCTGTCAAAACCGGTCCGGGCCTTCAGAACCGGTCCAGGTCATCAGAACCGGTCCGGGTCATCAGAACCGGTCCGGTCCATCAGAACCGGTCCGGGCCTTCAGAACCGGTCCGGGCTGTCAAAACCGGTCCGGGCCTTCAGAACCGGTCCAGGTCATCAGAACCGGTCCGGGTCATCAGAACCGGTCCGGGCCGTCAGAACCATTCAGGGTCATCAGAACCGGTCCGGTCCATCAGAACCGGTCCGGGTCATCAGAACCGGTCCGGGTCATCAGAACCGGTCCGGGCCGTCAGAACCATTCAGGGTCATCAGAACCGGTCCGGTCCATCAGAACCGGTCCGGGCCTTCAGAACCGGTCCAGGTCATCAGAACCGGTCCGGGCCATCAGAACCATTCAGGGTCATCAGAACCGGTCCGGGTCGTCAGAACTGGTCCGGGCCGTCAGAACCGGTCCAGGCCATCAGAACCATTCTGGGTCATCAGAACCGGTCAGGGTCATCAGAACCGGTCCGGGCAGTCAGAACCGGTCTGGGCCGTCAGAACCGGTCCATCAGAACCGGTCCGGGCCATCAGAACCGGTCCGAATCATCAGAACCGGTCCGGGTCATCAGAACCGGTCCGGGCCATCAGAACCATTCCGGGTCATCAGAACCGGTCCGGGCCATCAGAACCGGTCCGGTTCATCAGAACCGTCCGGGTCATCAGAACCATTCCGGGTCATTAGAACCGGTCCGGGCCATCAGAACCATTCCGGGTCATCAGAACCGGTCCGGTTCATCAGAACCATTCCGGGTCATTAGAACCGGTCCGGGCCATCAGAACCATTCCGGTTCATCAGAACCGGTCCGGTCATCAGAACGGTCCGGGCCATCAGAACCATTCCGGGTCATCAGAACCAGTCCGCTCCAGCTCACCTTGCTCAGAGCCATCTCCTCCTTCAGGTTGTCGTATCTCAGCTCCAGCCTGGAGAACTCCTTGAGGAGGTTCTGGTACCGCTCCCGCTCCTGGTTCAGCTCCGTCTCCAGGGAGGCGCTGCTCTCCACGGCTGACGGACGAACAGGAAGCGGGTCATGAGGGAATCCGGACCGGTACCGCCGGGACGGAGGCGGACTCACCTGCGGAGTTCTTGGCCTGCTGCTGGATCCGTCGGTTCAGTTCGTCCTTCTCCGCCTTCAGCACGGCGTTTTCTCCCTCCAGCTCCTCCACCCGCTGCAGAGCAGAGTTCAGAGGTCAGAGGTCAGCCGAGTCCTCCACGGATCCTCCCCGCCGCGTTCTCACCTGGCTCAGGCTGAGCTTCTCGTGGCCGTGCTCCTCCTCCATCCTCTTCCTGTGGGCCTGCGCCTCCTGCAGCTCCACCCGCAGCCTCTCCACCTCCTGCAGCGACTCCACCTGGCCTCCGTCAGGCTGCTGGCTGCGGACCTGCTCCAGCTGCTTCTGCAGCTTGGTGACCTCTGACCCCAGTGAGGCGTTTGCCGACACCAGCTGCTCGTTCTGGGTCTTGAGCTCCTTGGACTGAGAGAGAGGCTGTGACCTTTGTGACCCATGTGACCTTTGTGACCCATGTGACCCAGGTGACCCGTGTGACCTTTGTGACCCATGTGACCCGTGTGACCCATGTGACCTTTGTGACCCAGGTGACCCGTGTGACCTTTGTGACCCAGGTGAGCCGTGTGACCCATTTGACCTGTGTGACCTTTGTGACCCATGTGACCCAGGTGACCCGTGTGACCCATTTGACCTGTGTGACCTTTGTGACCCAGGTGACCCATGTGACCTTTGTGACCCGTGTGACCTTTGTGACCCGTGTGACCCCTGTGACCTCGGGGGCGTGAGCGCTCCTACCTGCTCGTCCATCTTCCTCTGCAGCTGGACGATCTTGTTCTCCATGCCCGTGTTGAGCTTCTTGAGGTGCTGAGCCGAGCGCGCTTCGATCTTCAGCTGCTTCAGCCGCCGCTTGGCCTGCATCCTCCTGAAGCCGCACTGGATGATGACGGCGGCGTCACGCGCCGCCTGAGCTTCTTCCTCTGCAGCCAGCCGCGCACGTGCTTCTGGATCAGCATGGCCTTGTGGTGCAGCATGAACTGCAGAGGAACCAGCAGTCAGCACCAAACACAAGAGAGGCAACACTCCAGGATCAATCCCTTCAGAATAAAAGCCTCCAGTTTAAAGACCAGGCTGGATTAGGATGAACCTAAACTAGGGATTCATTTAGACTTTCAAAGTAAAAGTGCAGATTTTTCTATCCTCAGCAGTAAAAACATAATTTATGTCCGTCTTTCTTAGGAAACACTTTTGGTTTCCCTCCAGGACGTTCTGACCCAGCAGAACAAGGCCGACCTTTGTTCCATCCACATGACCCCGTTTACTGTGTTGCTGCAGGACACACAGCCACCAGCAGGGGGAGCCAAACAGAACTGCAGCTGATCTAAACGAAGAACTCAGCAGAAGAACTGATTTAACTGCCTGAAGCTCTGGATGAGCACATAGGAGCCTGGTTCTGGTTCTGGTTCTGGTTCTGGTTCTGGATGTGCCTGTCAGCTCCAGAGCAGCAGATAATCCAGATAATTCCTGCTTGGCTGCTGAGGACATTTCTACCATTTCCTCATCATTTCCTCCATGAGGAGATAACAAACAGGAAGGAGCTGAAGCATCGGGTTGCTCCACAGATCCAGTCGGTCCTACAGAACCTGCTGCCTCTGATCCAATCCCGACCCGGTGACCAGTCAGCTGTCCGGTTCCGTACCTCCCAGAAGATCCTGCGGGTGAACATGCCTCGGGCGAAGGCCTGGATGGTGACCGTGGCCCGCCGGATCCTCAGGAACTTCCTCCGCTCTCGGACCATGCGGTACTGTTTCTGACAGATCAGGGCGGCCCGGTTCTGACGCAGGAACTCTGCGTACCTGCAGGGAACAGCAGCTCTCAACCCCACGGTCTGTTTGGACCAATCAGAGGCCGAGGAGAACAGCTCACCTGCGGGCCAGGTAACCTCTGCCGTATCTCTGCAGGCCTATGGCGGCCCGGCGGACCCGGCGGTACCGGATCCTCTGCAGCCAGCCGCGGACCGTTTTCTGGATCTTGATGCAGGCAGAGCGGAATTTATCGGTCCGAAGCTTCTCCAGGTACGCCACCTGGCCGGCCCGGAAGAAGATTTTGGTCTTCCCGAACTGGAACATGTCGGGTTCCTGGTGGAGGACAGGCGAGCGGGTCAGTACCGACCCGGAACCAAAGAGATGTTCGGATAAGAGACCTGCTCCGTCTCCGGTTAGCCTGACTGAACGGAACCCAAAGAACCCAAACAGAACCTTTGGACCTGAGATGTTTCTGGTTCCAGGTCTTTGGAGAACCTCTCGGTTCTGAACGGGTCGGTCCAGCAGCAGTCTGTTTTCATCTGAGCCATGTCTCACCTTGATCAGCGTCTCCAGTAGGTTCTTGCACACCTGCTTCTTGTCTGCTGACGTCAGGTCCGACTTCCTCATCAGAACCCTGTACCGGCTGAAGAAGTCGGGATAGGTCCACCTGCGCACACACAGTACCGGTTACCTGGCGGTCACATGACCCTCAGCGGGCCGACTTAACGTGATGAAGACGCTCCTCACCTGGATGGGTATCCGGCGGCGCTGATCCGGATCGTCTCCAGAACCCCGCAGGCCCGGAGCTGCTGCACGGCCCGCCGGGAGTCGAACCTGCACACGGAACCAGACACGTTAACACTGCAGCACAATCAGGATTCTCAGCTGGGTCGGGTCAGAACTTCACCTCATCCTCTTGTCGGACATCAGCAGAACCTCTACAGCCGCTGGAACCGGCCGACAGACTGCTGAGAGTCCGGCCCGACCCGAAACATGTGACCCAAATTAGATTCATTCTGACATTCCTCACTGATGTTTATCAGCTGCAGAGCAGAACTGGGACAGAACCAGAGCAGTTTAACCCCACAGTGCTCCGAAAGCACCGGTTCTGATTCTGAACAAGTTCTGGTTCTGAACGGGAAGCTGACCAGAACCACAGAACTTAGTTCAAGGTTGAAACACCAGGAACTTAGAGCCGATACCCGTATGTTCACTCATACATACAGAAAGTTCTGCTCTGATGGACCCAATTCTGTTAAACTGGTTCTGTTCAAGTTCTGTTGGACCCGTCTGATACCTGCTGCATGAAGCAATCATATTTATTTTCATTCTCTCAACAGATTCCATCCAACAGCTGTGTAGCCCGGTCAGACCCGATCAGAGCCACCCTGCTGGTTCTGGACGGGTCTGACCAGAACCACCCTGCTGGTTCTGGACCGGGGAAGTTCTGCAAGGACACGGACTCACGAGAAGGCCTCCTTCAAGTCGTTCGGCTTGATGCAGCGTACGTAGTGCGGCGTGGTGGCGTTCAGGGTGTCCATCAGGAGGTGGAGTGACGAGCGGAACTGAAACAGAACCAACCTTCAGAACCAGAACCTTGAGAGAATGTCGGTGCAGAACCAGAACCCGACTCACCTGGTGTCCCACAGTCTTCCTGTGCTCCTTGTTGGGGACTTTGGGAACCGTTTTTAGGGGGCGGACGTTCACCTTGGAGGATTTAGAGGGCGGAGCTTCACTCTTGTCTTGGAACAGATCAGCAACCAGCTGGAACTGGGAGGAAACAGGAAGTACAGCGGTCCTAACTGGGCTCGGATCAGTCAGAACCCAGCTCTGGTTCTGGTTCCTACCTCGCTGGCTTTCAGGATGTTGATCTGCTCCTCGTAGACGGTGTCTCTGTTCTTCTCCAGGAAGCCTTCGCACTGATACTCCACCTGCAGGATTCAGCCAATCAGGAGGGAGAAGAGGAGACAAAAACCTTCAAGTCCAATCAGAAGTCATAGCCGGACCAATCAGAACCAGCGGCGCCAGATTCATCTTTAAGGTTGGTGGGCCGTAGGGTGTTTTGTCACGTCTGTTATGCATTTTGAATGTCAGGCCACAGCGCCACCTGGAGGCTCGAAACCTAAAGGCAGCACATAAATTGTGCAACAAATGATTGTCTGAGTGGACAGAAAACCAGCCAGACTGATGAAAACACCATGAATGAACTTTAATCTTCTTGTTATTAGCAGACAAATGAATTTAACATCCAACAGAAACTGGAAACCATCATCAGTATTTATGGCTCCTGATTGGCTGATTGGCTGCTGGAAAACAAACAAATTCACCTGATCCAAAACGATCTGCTCTAAAGCGTGGTGAGGATTTGGTCCGGACCTTAAACGGACCCGACGGACCCGACAGACCGTAAACGGACCCGACGGACCTTAAACGGACCCGACGTCTTTATTTCACCCCATCAGAGAGAAAACATGGCCGCCGCTCTAGAAGTGGTGACAGAGAGAGACCTGGACCGGATCAGAGTCTGAACCTTTGTTCAGCTGCCAGGCCGGGTCCTGATCCCGACCCGACCCGAAGCTGCTGCATGTGGAAACCTCTGGGTGTCGGTTCTGATCTGCAGCCTTAGATTCGGTCCAGATCTCAGTCTGAACCTCTGTCAGCGTGTAAACACAGCGAGACGTCAACTGATTGTTGGGTTTTATTCTCTGTGAGCCAAAACCAGCAGAACCTTCAGAACCACAGGAGATCAAAGTTAAATATTTCACTCTATGTGTGATAGATCTATGTGTATTTAATAAATATCAAGCTTTTTCATGTTCTGCTAATTGTCTGAGGTGTTGCTGTGGTTCTGGTCCGACTTCTAAATTTGTCCCACTGTGAAGTTCCCTCCAGTGGGTTCTGTGGACCAGATGTCTGGCTCGGTTCTGCTCACCTTGTCGGCGAAGTGGATGATGATGAAGGACGTGTTGGACATTCTGGGTTTCTGGAAGTGTCCGCTGCTGGAGTGCTGCTTGTAGAGCTTCTGGGCCCAGTTCTGATCCGTTTCCCTTCGGAACCTGAAGAACAGAGTCCAGTTAGAGTCCAGGTGAAGACGAACCCGGTTCTGGTCCCTTAGAAATCTGCGTCTCCAGGAGTGAACCTCAGTCAGGACGAACACACGGGCCGGAACCAGCAGAACCGGGTCATTACCTTGCACTCCTCATCCAGCAGGTCCAGGATGCCGAGCCGGGCCTCGATCAGGTCGATGCAGGGCTGGTTGTCGTAGAAGTCGATGAGTCCAGGGAATGTCCTCCTTCATGTACTCGTCCTGCTCCAGCTTGAAGACATGCTGAGGACACGGACGGCAGGACGGTGAGAAACACGGCCCGGACTCTCTGACCGGGTCGGTTCTGCAGAACTCACCGAGTTGAACTGCTGCTGCAGCTTCTCGTTGGCGTAGTTGATGCAGAACTGCTCGAAGCTGTTCACCTCGAATGTCTCGAACCTGCAGGAACACGGACAGCGTTAACGCGGCGTGAAGCCGCCACCGGGGGCGCCCTGCCGGCTCGCCGCGTACCCTAGATGTCCAGAACCCCGATGAAGGAGTGCCGCTTGGAGGAGGTGTGCAGCGCCTTGTTGATGTGCTCCACGATCCAGTCGAAGAGGTGGGCATAGATGTGCTTGGCGAGGGCGTCTCGGGCGTTGACGGCCTGCTGGCAGGACATGGTCTTCACAAACGTCTCGGAGGCGGTGGCCAGCTTCCGGTGGCAGAGCCAGTGGTCCATCTGCTTCAGCTCCACACCCAGCAGTCTGCAGAAGTGCTGCAGGTGGACGTCGTTCCTCTGCGGCACAAACAGAACCGAGTCAGAGCGCCGACAGAACCCCGAAGTGTCTCCGATCTGCTGGAGGACATACTGCGACGTGGCAGGACTCTCCGTCCCGCTCAGAGACGAGCGCCACGTTGCCAAGGTGAAGGATGGAGGCCATGATCTTAAAGATGCTGCTCTGACTGCTCTCCTTTATGCACACACACACACACACACACACACACACACACACACACACACACACACACACACACACACACACACACACACAGGTCACACACACAGTTTCACCCTTCACACTCCCCCTGCTGGAGGACACGTCTCACCCAGCAGTGTGAAGCCTCTCTGGTCTTCTTGAAGTCGTCAGCATCGTTGACTCCCTCGATGAAGATGTTCTCTCCTAGAGACGTGTAGGTGAAGTCTTCTGCACTCACTGAGGGACATGAGACAAAATCAGCAGCTGCAGAATCTCTGTTGAAGACCTGGACGCGTTCACACTCACTGAGACTGAGGTCTTTGAACTCTGGCAGGCTGGCCGAGGCGCATAGCTGGTAGAAGATGTGATAGTTCCTCTCGTCTTCAGCCTGGAGAAGAGATGATGGACCTTCAGGCAGCAGTAGTGGATCGGCAGCAGGGGGCGCTGCAGTGAGAAGAACTCACCTGGAAGACGACGCGGGACTTCTCCAGCAGGTAGGTCCTCATGTTGGCCCCAATAATGTGGTAATGTCTGCTGAAGCCGATCTGAATGTACTTGCCGAAGCGGCTGCTGTTGTCATTTCGGGTGGTTTTGGCGTTCCCGATGGCCTGAAGGGAAAGTTAATTGGAAGGAAAACATTCAATCTTTTCTGCATCTTAAAGACGGTGTCATCTGCAAAGAGGCGACTCCAGAGTGAACTGGCTCATGTCTGGTTCTGTGAGAACGTCTCTGACCTCCATTATGGGGTTGGAGGCCAGAACCTTCTCCTCCACGTTGGCGTCGCTGGAGCCGCCCACCGTGGCAAAGTATCTCATGGCGTACTTCGCAGAAACAGTCTTTCCTGCTCCAGATTCTCCGCTCACAATGATCGACTGGTTCTTCTCATCTCTAACATAAATAAGGAAAAGGTGTTCATATGACCAGATTTATTCTGTTTCGCTCAGAGAAATTTTGAGGTGCTAGGGTTAGGGTAAGAGGGTTAGGTGGGTAAGAGGGCTAGGGTTAGGGTAAGAGGGTGAAAGGGCTAGGGTTAGGGTAAGAGGGTTAGGGTTAGGGAGGTGCTTCAGCATCAGGCGTACCTGGCCATCTGTTTGTATGCTTCCTCAGCCACAGCGAAGATGTGAGGATCCATGTCCCCCATGTTCTGGCCGCTGTAGGCGGTGATCACCTCCTCCCCATAGATCTGCAGCTGCTCATATGGGTTGATGGCCACCAGGACGATACCTGGAACACAGAGACATCATGAAGGAGGAACGTCTTCTGGAGGAAGATCGCGTGAGCCAATAGCGATCGGATAGAAATCACGTTAAGGCTCCTTCACTTAGTTCACTCCACTGCACACGTCCATACTTAGTGTGGCACAGAATCAGACTGCTCTGTTTGCAACAGCCAGGTGATCATGTGAACAGCATGATAACTAGTCCTGTGGGTGGTAGACGAGACCGAGCGGCCAACCAGTTTATCAAACTCGCTGGTTTCCAAATGCTGTCGCTGCTGTTGTCTTCATGTCCTTCACCAGTCGGCTGCGTCCTATTCCTCTGTTTATAGGTAAGGACTGCAGGGGGCGGAGCTTCAACATGTGATCAGGAAGTTTCACTGTGATCCTTTCTGTATTTGATCTCCTGATTATTCATTGAAAGTCAAATGAAATGCCCAGAGGCAATGCTAGCTGACGCTCTGCTGGCTGCTGACTGCAGCCAATCCAGGAGTCCCATTCCCTTTCCTCGGTTCTGATTGGCAGAACCCCCAACAGGAGAGATCAGAAAGACTCAAGACTTTAGCTTCTGCTGTGGAGCTAAGATGGTTTCTACTCTGGATATCAAGAAATATTTGATATTTCTATTAAAATATAATTATTTTGAGAGGAAATTCAGGTACTTTAGCCGTTAGCTGCCGTCTATCATCCCGAGGATTCACTGCAATTAAATGATAAATGATGAGGAGCCATCGCATGAAAGAGTTGTCATAGAAACACAACAGGGCAGGAACTGTAAGAAAAATATTTAAAATGTAGATTTATGAAAATGCTATTTCTAATGTTTAGAGGAGAAGATGAAGTGTGATGGAAGCGGCCCAGTGGGTCAGTAAGGTTCGGGTTCTGACCGCAGTAGGTGTAGATGTTGTTGGACTCCAGGAAGCGGACCCTCAGGTTGTGCAGCACGGCGGGTTCATGAAGGTAGCTGAGAGCCGTCAGGTCGTTCTCCCCCACCAAGATGTCGGGATTTCTGAGGAACGGCAGAGCGTTGGCCTTCGGACCCACCTGGTACTCCAGGGCTGGACCAGAACAGAACACAGTCAGGACCCAGGGCAGCCATGTTGGATCCTGAGCTAAATATTAAAACATGTTTGACCTAAACCGAGATAAAGACGGAGGAACTGATTTATTTCCTCCGATCTGGGCGTCACTGCAGCTGAAATCAACAAGTCATAAAACAATAAACACATTCTTTCTTCATGGTTTAACGCCTGCAGCTGTCAGGACAAAATAGCTAAACACAGAGGAGCCATTATTATTTAACAAGGTTGAAATGAGCTGCAGTGACAGATCCTGAAAGCAACAGGAGTAATGACCGGGTCCAAACGCTCAGGACGGATTTGAATACATTTACTGTTTGACGCCCATAAAAAAACTGCTTCAGATCAGAGCAGCCAATCAGAGAGCCCGGTGAGCTCACGACGTCTGAGCAGATTGATCAAGACGGTAGCAAACTGTGGATCCCACTGAGTTCTACTGGATCCCACCGGGTTCTACTGGATCCACTGAGTTCTACTGGATCCTGATCATACAGGGATGAACCGATTACTAAATTGTCATGTTTAGTGACTGATTAATACAACTGGATGAGTCATTTATTTTCCAGCTAGTCAGAATAAGGATGCTAACTTGTTAGCTAACTGGTTAGCTTCTAGAAAACATCCAGAGTCCAGAGGATTCTGGATCCGCTCATTTCCAGAACTTTCCTCCTGTTTTCAACCACATTTACGTCTCTCTGACCTCTGACCTCATGAGCAGCTGCCATCTTGGCCTGATGATCATGATTTATTATGATTTAACAAAGCAGCCGATTATCATCGATAATCAATGACATGGCTGATTGCTGTTAGAAGAAACACCTGGCCCAGACGGTACCAGAACCACTCACCGTCCCGTCCTCCAGCTGCAGGTGCAGAACCGCCTCGCCCTCCTTGTAGTCCCTGGTGATTTCTGCAGCTTTCCACACATCGTCCGGGTCCGGGACCCAGACCCGGGTCAGCTGAAACAGAACCAGAACCGGGTCAGCTGAAACTAAACTAGACCCAGAGCAGGCCAGACGTCAGAGGAGCGGATCTGGACCAGAACCAGAACCGCCTGCAGCAGGAAGACCAGAAAGTGCAAACAGGAAGTGAAACAGCTGCAGGCTTTTACTGTGGAGGAGCACTTCCTGTTGAAACTGAAGGAAAGTTTCCCAGCTGCTGACTGGGATCAACACCAGAAATATACTGGTTCTACTGGGTCTACTGGACCCAACCCAACAGGTTCTACTGCAGGTCTGATCAGCTGGTCTCCTTCTGCTTCTGGGTCCAAATGTTTGAGAAAGTTCTGCTTGTTTGGTTCTGGTTCTTTTGGACTCCTAATCCAGAAGATCCGGGATGTGTTCTGGTTCTGCAGAACCCAAGCTTGACCGATTTGATCCCAGAATGGTTCTGGTTCTACAGCCTCAGCTGGATCAGAACCAGAGTTCTGATCAGATGGTCACTGAATCAGAACATCTGGATGATGATGAGCTGTTCCGATCCGATCGGCTGGTTCCGAACCGGGCCCTGACAGAACCTCTGCGAGTCGATGACTTTCTGCAGTTCAAATCGGGTCAGCGGTTCTGATGGAGGTCCACACGTTTACATGCAGGCCGGAAGCTTCGGCTCCACGAGTCAGAACCGGGCCGGGTCAGCACAGAACTACATGTCCCACAATGCAACGGGTCCAGATCTCCCTGCTGAGACCAACCGGGTCAGAACCGACTTCTTGACCCAGAACCAGAAAGGTTTTGATGCAGATCCAGGAGCAGGGAACAGCGGTCCGGTTCTGAACCAGCCCAGTAATGGTTCTGATCTGATGAAAACAGCAAACTGGGTCAGAACCAAGAACCTGCTGAACCAAACCAGCTTTTGTTGCCAAGGCAACCAAGCCCACAGGAAGTGACATCATCATGTAAATGTGTCGCCGCTCATTTCCATCATGTTTACATGCAGGTGAGTCACCTCTGGTCACATGACCCACAGGAGCCAATCAAAGCCCGGCTATGGAGCATCTGAGGTTCTGGTTCTGCCGGGTCACACTGCGGTTTGACCAATCAGAGGCCTGGGAGCAAAAAGAGCCTTTTTATCTGGGACACACCGAGGCAGCAGCCAATCAGAGAGCAGCATGCCGCGGGCAGGCTCTCAGCAGGAAACACACACACACTAACACACACAGTAACACACACAGTAACACACACACACGCTAACACACACAGTAACACACACACAACACACACAGTAACACACACAGTAACACACACAGTAACACACACAGTAACACACACACACACGCTAACACACACAGTAACACACACAGTAACACACAGTAACACACACACACACAGTAACACACACACTAACACACACAGTAACACACACAGTAACACACACACAGTAACACACACACAGTAACACACACAGTAACACACACACAGTAACACACACACAGTAACACACACAGTAACACACACAGTAACACACACACAGTAACACACACACAGTAACAACACACAGTAACACACACACTAACACACACAGTAACACACACACAGTAACACACACACTAATACACACAGTAACACACACAGTAACACACACACTAATACACAGTAACACACACACACACACTAATACACACAGTAACACACACAGTAACACACACACAGTAACACACACACAGTAACACACAGTAACACACACAGTAACACACACAGTAACACACACAGTAACACACACAGTAACACACACAGTAACACACACACTAATACACACAGTAACACACACAGTAACACACACACTAATACACACAGTAACACACACACACACTAATACACACAGTAACACACACAGTAACACACACACAGTAACACACCACAGTAACACACAGTAACACACACAGTAACACACACACAGTAACACACACACTAACACACACAGTAACACACACACTAACACACACAGTAACACACACACTAACACACACAGTAACACACACACAGTACACACACAGTAACACACAGTAACACACACAGTAACACACACGCTAACACACACAGTAACACACACAGTAACACACACACAGTAACACACACACTAACACACACACAGTAACACACACAGTAACACACACACAGTAACACACACAGTAACACACACAGTAACACACACACTAACACACACAGTAACACACACAGTAACACACACTAACACACACAGTAACACACACAGTAACACACACTAACACACACAGTAACACACACACAGTAACACACACACTAACACACACAGTAACACACACGCTAACACACACAGTAACACACACAGTAACACACACAGTAACACACACTAACACCCCACAGTAACACACACAGTACACAAACACACACACTAACACACACAGTAACACACACACAGTAACACACACACACCAACACACACACTAACACACAGTAACACACACAGTAACACACACATCAACACACACACACACACACAGTAACACACACACAGTAACACACACACACAGTAACACACACACAGTAACACACACACAGTAACACACACACCAACACACACACAGTAACACACACACACAGTAACACACACACACACTAACACACACAGTAACACACACACACACTAAACACACAGTAACACACACAGTAACACACACAGTAACACACACACAGTAACACACACACACAGTAACACACACACAGTAACACACACACACACACAGTAACACACACACACACACACAGTAACACACACACACACAGTAACACACACAGTAACACACACACACACAGTACACACACACACACAGTAACACACACACAGTAACACACACACAGTAACACACACACTAACACACACAGTAACACACACACAGTAACACACACAGTAACAACACACACACACTAACACACACAGTAACACACAGTAACACACACACTAACACACACAGTAACACACACAGTAACACACACAGTAACACACACACAGTAACACACACAGTAACATACACACACACAGTAACACACACACACACAGTAACACACACAGTAACACACACACACAGTAACACACACACACACAGTAACACACACAGTAACACACACACAACACACACAGTAACACACACACACAGTAACACACAGTAACACACACACACACACTAACACACACAGTAACACACACACAGTAACACACACACTAACACACACAGTAACACACACACTAACACACACAGTAACACACACAGTAACACACACACAGTAACACACACAGTAACACACACACACACACTAACACACACAGTAACACACACACACACACACACAGTAACACACACACAGTAACACACAGTAACACACACACACACAGTAACACACACACAGTAACACACACACTAACACACACAGTAACACACACACGCTAACACACACAGTAACACACACACAGTAACACACACAGCAACACACACACACACACACAGTAACACACACACACAGTAACACACACACACACAGTAACACACACACACACAGTAACACACACACAGTAACACACACACACAGTAACACACACACACACAGTAACACACACACACACACAGTAACACACACAGTAACACACACAGTAACACACACACACAGTAACACACACACACACAGTAACACACACACAGTAACACACACAGTAACACACACACACACACTAACACACACAGTAACACACACACACTAACACACACAGTAACACACACACGCTAACACACACAGTAACACACACAGTAACACACACACACACACTAACACACACACAGTAACACACACACTAACACACACAGTAACACACACCGCTAACACACAGTAACACACACAGTAACACACACACACAGTAACACACACAGTAACACACACACGCTAACACACACAGTAACACACACAGTAACACACACACACACTAACACACACAGTAACACACACACGCTAACACACACAGTAACACACACAGTAACACACACACACACAGTAACACACACAGTAACACACACACACAACACACACACACACACACACACACAGTAACACACACACAGTAACACACACACAGTAACACACACACAGTAACACACACACACGTAACACACACACCAACACACACACAGTAACACACACACACACAGTAACACACACACACACACTAACACACACAGTAACACACACACACACTAACACACACAGTAACACACACACAGTAACACACAGTAACACACACACACACAGTAACACACACACAGTAACACACACACACACCAGTAACACACACACAGTAACACACACACACAGTAACACACACACACAGTAACACACACACACACACAGTAACACACACAGTAACACACACACACAGTAACACACACACAGTAACACACACACACAGTAACACACACACACACAGTAACACACACACACACAGTAACACACACACACACAGTAACACACACAGTAACACACACACAGTAACACACACACACAGTAACACACACACACAGTAACACACACACAGTAACACACACACACAGTAACACACACACAGTAACACACACACAGTAACACACCACACAGTAACACACACACACACAGTAACACACACACAGTAACACACACACACATAACACACACAGTAACACACACACACAGTAACACACACACACAGTAACACACACACACAGTAACACACACACACAGTAACACACACAGTAACACACACACAGTAACACACACACACAGTAAACACACACAGTAACACACACACACACACAGTAACACACACACACACAGTAACACACACACACAGTAACACACACACACACAGTAACACACACACAGTAACACACACACAGTAACACACACACAGTAACACACACACAGTAACACACACACACACACACACAGTAACACACACACAG